AAGTGCTTTTAATATGTAACTTACCAAGTTTTTTCAAGATTATTTCTACCTTAACAAGGGAATCAGGAGAACATCCTTCATAAATACACACGGTAGTCATGTCCTTCAAGGCTGCTTCCAAATTCCCCGTTTGCTCCAATATACGTGCCCGACATAGCACAGCTTTAATATATTTTGGATTTAATTCCAATGCTTTTGCACAATCTGCCTTTCCGGAGCTATATTTCTTCTGTAAATTGCAACTATTGTACACACATATCACCAACAACTTCAACAATCAATGAAATCAAATTTTCATGTTAAACTTATTATGACTATTATAAATATCTTAATACCAATTGCTCATACGCAGCTGCTCTATTTTGATAAAAAGTTGCGAGTTCATCCTTACTCTCCTTGGGACAAATGTCGATTGCTTTAGTATATTCAGCAATGGCTTCATCATATTTTTTCGATTTGAAATATACATTTCCTTCGATCTTATACTTTAGCGCTCTTTGTATAGGAGTCTAAAACAAAAGAATTTACTTGCATTGGTCATTAAAATACTACCTTTTTGATGTTCGTGATAAATTTATAGGCATATATAAGACAAGTATGTACTCTAAAAGTCTTTAGCGATTAGGAAAATTATCGTAAATAAACTATTATTTTATAATCTCGTTATTATAAAGTGTTCAACAATACTTGCAGCCATTATCTATTGATTCTTGACTCTTTCATGATAACGCATCTAAACATATCAATGACACAATATGTTTACTGACGATACAGGGAAAGCAAATAAATATATAACTTTGATGATTAAAATTCTAAAAGGCAGCATCAAATGCAACATTGAAAAAAATATTCTTTTTCATTTCGAATAAATGGATTTTCACAATCTAATCGGCACTTTCAGAATAGGCAAATGATCTCAACCTCTGTCTCAGCCACAAGAGAAGACACTTTGGATGATTGATCACACTGCTTCCTTCTGGCAGATCTATTTTTTCTTCTATGCGTCATCTAAAAATGCATTGAAACAAACTTTCTGTTTACTTATGTTTAATTTCCTTTTTCAATACAAAGGGTGAAAAGTATTCATGAATATTACACTTGAATATTAATAACTTAATAATTTATTTACTGTAGAATTATACATAAATTTTAATATCTTATTAATAATTTTTCTGTTTTTCTTAATATAATCCTATAGATTTTTAATAGTTACTATTATCAATACTGCAGAAACATAATATTAAATCAATATTAAATTAATATAAAGATTAAATCAATATTAACTGAATTTCAGGCTGATTTTTAAATGTTAAAGAATAATCATATATTCTTTTTTCCTTGTATCTTCTGTTTTGATTTTGAGACAAAATAATCTATCAAATCAAGATTTTGAACATGTTTCTTTCAATCATAATTTCACAAATCAAAGTACATATCAGTAACAGACCCCATACAATGATTTAAGAATCTGTACCACATGCATCACTCTATACAACCCTATAATTCATAAAATAATTAAAATTCAGTTTTAAAGATGAATGGATTTAAAAATTTAAAATAGAGTAATCTTTTGATCTGTATGATCAAAAGAACGAATTTTTAATGTTGAAAAGAGATACAAATTTTCTGGATAATGCAAATAAAAAAATAAAAAAATTAATGCAACTGTAGTCATTCCTTTCAGTTGTCGATAATCTGATTCATTTTGACATCATTATTATAATAAGTATATTGAATATATGTATTTCATTGGAATAATAGAATGATTCAGGACGAAATGGCATAGACAAAGAGGTTTTTTTAAATGTGATGGTGTGTTTAATCAATTAGTTCAAAGTTGCAGCAATCAAACTGTGACAGAAATTGACAAGATGAACCTTATGATTAACCTGAAGATAATGCATCCATGAAAATAATCATGCAAGAATGTAGAGAAAGCGAAATATTTGATTTTTTTCAGAAAAGCCATAGGCCTATATTCGCACACAGAACGCGCTTTTTTTGATAAAAGCGCTCTTTCATTTCTAAAATTCTATAGTATGTGTAAATTATAGCATGCTAATATCGTTGTAAGCGCATTCTAAATACAGGCCACAGAGCGTGAACAACATAATGAATCATTATAAAAAGCCTGAGTATCACATCTTCTATCTTATTTTTCTTCTTATATCCAGTAATGGGTTTTGTATTTGCATTTTGCTACTTATAACTTATTGTCAGTTCATACAAGGTCTAATTTCCAGCGAATCATTACGTTGCATAGAATTAAATTTATATGCCAAAGATATATTTAACTGTGCTTATTTTATTCCAACTTCTATCCAATAAATCTTTACTTTTGATGGAAACAATACTATAAATTTGATTTGCTGGAGTGAAATAGAATTAATGAGGATTTCGGTGAAAACTAGATCAGGAGATTACGATGAACGGCAAGTAACGCTTTCCGCACATTATGCACTTATTTCTTTATTTAATACAGTTTGCCTTCCAAGAAAAAATCTTTGGAAGTCAATACGACCAGATTTCGTCAATGTTTCTGTCATAATTTCAAAAATTTTACATGATGCAATATTTGGCAATTTTGATTTTGAATTTGGAATGCAATTTTTTTAAAGAGAGCATGTCCGGGATTGGTCTTTCGAAATTTGCGCGCGATTATGCACGAATATGCATTACCTTGATATTGTTGAATATATTTGGTCCGTCGCGCACAAATTTCCCCTTTCCGTGAAAATTGTTCACGAAGAAGATTCACGATGCAATTATAAAGTACTCAGGTCAATCAGTCGAATGACATACGGATCGTCTCTACTCATTCTTCTGCGTCGTAATCTTATTATCTGATCAGTATAACGACAAAAACAAGCTCATATAAAATATATCGATGTTCCCGGAAAACCCCTTCTTTCTCTTTTTTACCAGGCAGAAAAATTCTTTCGATTAATATCAAGTGTGGAATTCCCGACCATTGTAGTACAACGCCATTGTAGTACAACGCAGTACAATCGAAACAATGAGCGAGTTTTTTAATTCGATTGATCAATCGCGCAAATGTAATTTTGTTCCATAAAAACTGCATTTACGCATAATGCAATCGATGAATGAAGAAACTTGCCCAATATTTATATCACCAATCAAATACTATTAATGATCGCCAATCCTGGACAAATTTTCGTTCATACAAAAAGAGAGAGATCCAGAAATAATCGAAGAACATGCTGACATTATCGAGAATAATGATATAATTGATATAGAATAGAATTTATTTACACTTCACTTCATATACAAGCCAAGAAGAGGACTTGGTTTACGAAAATACTTAACTCATTCACACTTACACTCCTCTCCAATCTTTATCTTACAACTACAAACCTATATAACAACCTATTACATTCTCTTTTACCTATACATAATCTTTATATCACAGCCTTAGCACAGTCTATTATTAATGTCTATGTCCTATTTCTTTTATCTGTACCTAGTATTTCTTTACCCTTATTTATCGCCCTATTTTCCCTTATTCCCTTATTCTTTAATTGCACATTCCATCTATATCCTATGTTTTTATTTTCTATTCTCATTTCAATTCGTTTCCTTAACTTAAATAGATAATAAATTACCTATCACTAACTATGATATACTACGCTACAATCTTATTTTATCACTTACTCACAACTTTGTTGTTTTAAATACAAAATACTCATTCCTTGTCTTTATATTATCTTTATCTTTATAATAGTCTCTGTTATATCTTATCCTTCCTTTCTCCTTTTTTTTTCTTTTCTTTTTATTATTTCTTTTTCTCTATCGTTTTATCCATTAGCGTTTTTCCTTTAAGTTCACTCAAATCTTCTCCCCATAAATTCCTTACAATCTCGCCCTTATCCTTCCCTAACTCTTCAAAATTACTCTTGTCTCCTCGCATTCTTTAACATAATGCTCAAAGTTAAAGTCCTCGCTTGCACCACAGAAAAGACATCCTCCCTCCTCTATTCCTAGTATTTATTCCCAGTATTTATTCTTCTCTTCTAAATTACCGGATCTTAATTTAAATAACGCTCTTATCTCATCTCTTCTCTTCCATTCCAAATTCTCTACTCTCAAATAATTTAATACTTATTATTGATATTTATTCTCCATATTTATCTCTTTATATATTTTATTATATCTTGATCTATCTATTCTTTCCTTTTCCCATTGCCTCTGTAAAAATCCCTTTCCCTATTTATTAAATCTTTTTCAAAACTTTCATTCCCACGTCTCATTACTTCCCTTGATTCAATTCCCCATCCGTTCCTATTATAACTCTCTCTCTCTCTCTTCATACCATATCTATTGTTCCAATCATAGCTTTGTTTTTTCTCTCAGTACTCCCTGATCAAATTATCTGTGTTTCCAGATTTAATCTTTTCCTCGTATTTTCTTGCCCTCAAACCCTATCCTACTTTGAACTTATCCATTACCAGCTCCTCATAATTACATACCTTGGGGTGCAGAAATCCAGTTTGAAATTCCACTTGACATAATCTAACATTATCTTTTCTAATTCGCCTTTTTCTTCCCAGCCCCATAATTCCACTCCATATGCCATAACACTTTATATCAAATATTTGAATAGCATCCATCTTCTATTAAAGTTATTTCTGCATAATTTTTCCCCTAAGCCCCATACCTTTCTTGCTATCATTTTTCCTTTTCTACTTATTTCTTTAATATGCCTTTTATAATCCCCTTTCTTATCTAAATTAAAATCCAAATATTTGAATTCCTGCACCTCCTCTAGTTCCTTACTCCCCCATTTCCATTTCTCTTTCCTTTTTCTCCCCCTCTCTCTAGACACTATTATTTTCGTCTTTTCTGCACAGCTCCAGTTTCCTCCTCTTCAAAAATTTTTTTAACATACTCATCATATCCTGTAACGCCTTCCTATTGATATAATTGATATAAATTTGCGATTATTAACATAAATATTTGACTAATACATTTTTGAATTCATAATTTTTTATTATTGTACATAAAAGCTCCATAAATAAATATGTATACTTGTAAAGCTATAGTATCCTATATATTGCTGAAAAATTATAAAATTGCTGAAAAATAATTTTGTCTCTGCATTTATTATCTCTGTTGATAATCAAACTTTAACGATAACACTGAAATCACAATTTTAAAGAAAAATCGAGTATTAAATGAGTTTTAAATGCATAAGTATGTCTACAAAATTAATAAATCATAAAATTAGTACAATATTATGTTTTTATTCTTAATCACTTCAATATTATGGCCTTCTACAATAAGCCATTAGTCAAAAATCAGAAGCTAAAAAGTGAACAATCATAATTAATTTTTGTTTCTGATTTCTAATTTATGACTAATGGCTTATTGTAGAAGACCCATTAACACGAACGCAAACTCTCGTAAGGATGTATCTTTGACAGTATCTCATCAATGTCAGTACTGAACTTAAATTAATTCTTTTTCTTTTTTTTCGTTCCATATCAGTTATGTCGCGCTTGAATGAATTTTCGATTGCAATGATTAGTCGCGCCATATTCTTTCCTGGCTAATAAAAACTGGAGTACATTATTGACTAGACTCTCTGCTAGGGACTCTAAATCGGGCTAGTCCGGAACTACAATATTTTAATCCTTAAATCGTAAGGGACGTAGCAAGTTTGTGTGGAATGGCCTTAAGAAATTGATCAATTACAGTCGAATAATTGAGAAGAATAATTGACTATGGCCTAATTTCCATCGATTATTTAAACCGGATCAGAATGTAAGAACCAAATACAGTCGAGTATTCCCCTGTTGCTGTCGAACGACAAGGAAATATTCGACTGTAATTGGTTGATTCTTACATTTTGATCCGGTTTAAATCCTCGGTAAAAACTAGGCTTGTGTTTCGTCTATTCTTATTTATTTCTTATAGCTTAAAGATCCTGAGTAATCGCAGCGGCCATGTTGGAATCAGACATCAGAAGAGAGGAATGCTCCTAAATTTATGCTGCAAGCCATTTGTAAATAAAGACAATTTGGATAAATCTAACGAGATTGCTTTAAAATACCTGCAAAAATAGGCATAAACAGTCCTTTTCTCCCTTAATAGTCAATAAATAATCGTATAAAAAGGACAGATAAAGTGAGCCTAATTTCGGGCGGAAATACACGGTTTGAACAGCTGTTGAAGTAAATGAAATATACGCTTTTACGCATCATATTCCAGAATAATTATAGTGTCCATTTTTAAAACTTTCATAAATGCGAGACACGTCACAATTAAGCAAATAATAATGCATGCAGCACAAATTTCGTCGTCAAAACGTCACTTTTCCACACTTATAAGTTCAGTCATCGGCCATTTTTTCGTTCGCTGTAACACACACACAAGAACGAGCCTATATATGTACATTCATGGCCAAAGTATACAATAGCGCACTCTATTTATTATGTATGGCCAAAATCGTAGCGCGCATGCGCAATTTGAGACATTACATACGATAACGCCATCTGAACTTTTCTCTCACTTATTCTTTGTTTTCGGTCTTTCTCTTAATCGTTGAAGTTTTTGTGTAGCAATTGGCGGTAACGACAGTATTAAGTTAATATGCTTTTATGTTGGTGATGTCTTGCAAATTGTTTTAGATATTGATAGTGAAGTAAAAAAAAATAAAGATGTAGATTATTGTGAAGTGCAGTGCAGTGAAGTGAAATAAAATGAAGTGAAAAGAATAAAGGAAGTGACAATTATCTTTAAAGAGAATTGTACATCTATACATATATATATATATATA